AAATCATTGCCATTGCAAGAAATGGCATGGGGCAAGGTAAGGTAGGCAACACAAGCATCAGTCCTACGCAATGCAAAGATTTTTTTTAATTTTTTATACCGTTGCAAGCCTTTATTGGAGTTGATACACCTGACAAGATATTTATTGGAGTTGGCGAGGGTAATCCTGAGACCTAGATTGCTGATCCTGACCAGTCCGACCGTTTTCGGATGCTAAAGAAAATGAGATTCAAGCTCGTTAGTGACAAGGACAAAGAGTACGTTCGTCATGGGATAGAAGTTGTAGACCGGTGGACGGCCTGAAACCCGCCTGCAGCCTGAGGTGGGCCCAACCCGATTAGGCCCAGGCCTAAGCCTAGCCCAAGACCCTGGGCCTGAGCCTGGGCCTGGGCATTCATTTTGAAGCCCGGCCCTCCCTCTCTGGTAGATTGACTGCTTGCCAATGTTCAAATTTGGCAGATTGACTGCCTACCAATGCCATTGCCAACGGTCAAATTTCAAAAAAATAAAATAAAGGCTTGCAACAGTATAAAAAATAAAAAAAAAAATCTTTGCATTGCATAGGACTGATGGTTGTGTTGCCTACCTTGCCTTGCCCCATGCCATTGCTTGCAATGGCAATGATTTAAATTTCAATGAATGGAAAAAAAAAATAAAAAATTTAAATGTCTGTAGAGGAGCAGACTAAAAGAAATAATAATAATAATAATAATAATAATAATTTAATGGTCACATGATCGTTTAACACAACGGTCCAATTTATTTTTTATTTACAAATTGACGTCAACCTTCTAAATTCCTATAAATATCACCCCTCTTCCAAAATAAATCTCACAAGGAATTCTCTCTCAAACTCTCAATCTCTCTCAACTCTCAATTAATTTTGAATTCTCATCCCTTAGTGGCAATTGCAATTTTGCAAGAAGAAACTTTTATCAGAAAGTGCTGACGTAGTTGGATTTTGGTAAGTTAAAATTAATGTAATGGGAATCCTCCACATATAAAAGCAGTTTCGTTTTTGAGTTTGGTGTTAAGAGCTTAGAGTTAAGTGTGATCAAAATAATTTAGGCTTTTCATTTAATTGAGGTCTTAAGAAAAAAAATTTACCCAATATTATAAGAATTTTTTTTACATGGGAGGGCCCTATTTTTTAGCTCAAATCTGGGGGCCCAAAGCAGCAGCTTTGCCGGCTTGCCCCCTTGAGTTGGCCCTGGCAGAGAGGGAACCGAAAAAAAAATCCTAAATAAGTTAAATCAACTTTTTTATAGTTACAAATTTTTTTTGTAAATTTCATAAACTGTTTATAAGTTTTATGAAAACATATAATGTATGATAATTTTTATTAGAATATAAGAATATGTTATAGATTAATTGGGATACAAGTATTTGAAAAAAGATTTCTTAATAAATTTCTTATATATATATATATATATATAATTTTTAGAATTTTTGTTAATATAAATAAAAAATTGTAAACATTAGCATTTCCAAACAAGTCTATAACGTATGATTCAATAGAATAAGAATGAAATGGTATAATAATTTTTCTTAATATCCTTTCCATGTTTGATTGGGTAAAAAAAAATATATTAAAAATGAAATAATCATTCACTAATTTAGCAGAATGGTCATTCCATTAAGAGTAATCTCTTCTAAATTACCTAGAATTTAGAATGTGGATTAAATTTGTTAAAGGTGATTTCCAAACAAGTCTATAACGTATGATTCAATAGAATAAGAATGAAATGGTATAATAATTTTTCTTAATATCCTTTCCATGTTTGATTGGGTAAAAAAAATATATTAAAAATGAAATAATCATTCACTAATTTAGCAGAATGGTCATTCCATTATGAGTAATCTCTTCTAAATTACCTAGAATTTAGCATGTGGATTAAATTTGTTAAAGGTGGGATCTACAACGTATCAAGTTTACATCCACACCTTCCAAACATTTTCTGAACAATTTTCATGGTCAGAATCCTAGATTCATAGCTTTTTTTCTTCCATTAATGCTCTATTTTGTTCATCGGAACGAAACAAAATGAAATGGAACAGTCATTCATTTTCCTTATAGAATGACCATTTTCTTACATAGTAAATGGTGATTCCATTTGTAATATATTTTTATTATTTTTTTAGTCAACTAAATATGAAATAAATATTTTGATGGAATGATCATTCTATTTCACTATATCACAGTTAACCAAATACACCTAAGAGGTCAATGAATTATCATTTCATTCTTACCTAAACTTATAGCCAAATTTTACGTTGCACCTCTACATTTTACATCTAATCTCACTTTGGCTCTTAACCTTTTAATTGTCTTAGTTAACCCTCTAAATTTCGAGTGAAGTTGCAATTTGGTCCAATTGTGTATTGCCATTTCGAAACTAACGAAAACATCCTCGTGATTGTACTAATTACATTTAGCACCTTACACTTTAATCACCCATGTACTTTTACCAAAATTTCAATTTAGTCCTTTCATTACTTTAGTTTCTTTGTTAATTTTTGAAATTCCGTTATTCGATTGGAACCAATTATAACTCGATGAGCAATGTTCTGGTGTGCAATGTACACCGCATGCAACCCTACCACAAAATTACGTAAGTTTTCATGAACTTACATAAGTGATCTCACAAAAAAGTATAAGTTGAACACAAATTCATGTAAGTTTACTTTTATGAATAGACTTACGCAATTTGGTGTTCAACTTACGTAATTTTGTGGTAGGATTGCATACAGTGTGTATTGCACACCGGAAAACTTTCCTAACTTGACTCGAAATGTAAGAGATTGACAATGTCAAGAAGAAAAGTGAGATGAACTATAAAATAAAGGAATGCAAAGTGTAATTTGTCCTAAAATTATTTTTGTGAACCATACACTACCTTAAAATGTAAAATTTCTACTTCCTTCCCAAACCCTAAAAAAATAAAAAATAAAAACAAAGTTTTTGCATAACCATGCATATCATTTGTCCACAAGGCACCAATGAAAAAATGAAAAATAAAAAAATAGCATTTGCTTTTGTAGGTTCTGCTTGTTTGTTTCTTTTTTTTCCTTTTTAAATTTTTTTCAAGACAACTAATTTTTTAGAAGTGAATAAACACTTCAAACTATATTATTAGTATCAACATTATAGTCTACAAGAACTATTCTGTATTTTGTTAAGAACATTTTTTATTGTATTTTTTGTACAAGCATCTCACACTTAAAAAGTAACTAATGAAAAAAATCTCAAAAAACAATTCATGTGCAAAGCACATGCACAAACACTACTACATCTAAATGTGCAGAAAATAATGGAATACACTCTAAATCATGAGTGATTATTTTATAGTTTTCGAGCAATACTCTACCTTCTTCATCATTTGATATTTGTCGAGTTATTTTTGAAAAATCTAACAAAAAGTATTGAGTCTCATTATTTCAACAAATAAGTATCAAGTAAAAACATCACATGAATTTACCCAGAAGCAAAAATAATTTTTTCCTAAATCATATAAATAATTGTGTAGGACCAATGATTTGCCTTTGCCATGTATAAAAGGCAAGGAATCTTAATGAAACACTTTTGTTTGTCTAATACCAAGACTTTAGGTGTCCTATTTTCCATTGTTTTTCTTATGTGATCGGAACTCTGGTTATGTATAGATTATGGATTTGGAAGAAAAATGAAAAAATTGGAAAAAAAATAAATCAAATACCTATGTTACAGCACCATCACAAGGCCATTGTCTTATTATTATTATTATTATTATTATTATTATTATTATTATTATCAACAAAAGAAAAAATTGTATTGATGAAGACTAGCAAATAAACAAATAGAACATCAATAAAGTGAAAAAAGGCGAGTGCACAACTGCATCATAGCAAGACTACACGATCCCAATTAGGTTGACACTGAAAAGCAAGCCTAATCATATGGAAGCACATCACAACGAGTTGGCGAGAAACCAACGAAAAAACAACCAAATGACAAAACAAAGAACAACTCTAATAGTTCGTGTTTGCAGGTAAGAAGGGTGACAAGGTTGAGGCATCTGCAGAAGCCAAGCCTATGGATGCTACAACAAATGGAGCTACTGCCTCTCAAGAAAGAGAATTTAAATTTTGATTTGAATTTTCCTTTTTGTTAATTTAATTTTGGCTGCAACCTTGTATTTGTTTGGTTACTGACTACATTCCAGTAGTCATTAGATGTTGAATCCTAATTGGGTTTTCCTCAAATGTATCTGTTGCATAGACACTGGGTTAACGTTCTTTTTGTATCCTTTTTTTATGATGAATAGATAAAGTTTTATTGACAATTGAATTTTTATCTTGTTAATTGAGTTTTTCATATATTTGAATGAAACTAGAATTCTAACGAAGATATAATTGTTAATTTTCACAAAATAATACAATAGTAGTTTTTAAGAAATGTTATTAAAAAGAATTCATTTTATTCACAATAAATGCAGAGGAAATGTGCCAAATGTAATTTGCAACAACTATGTCAACATTAAAAAAATAATTAGATTTTATGCACAATATTGGCTTTCAATTATGAATTAGAATGACAAATAGACAAATAGTTACATAATTGATTACCTAATCAATTATAAAATACATAGTTGGACTTAGTTTTACGAATGGTAGGCAAAATTGATTGGCTTGTAAATTTGGATTGTGGCTTGTATGCATAGTCGGTTCAATTGCCTTGTATGCATAATCGGTTCAATTGCCAAAGTCAATTTCAACCAAGACTTGTGGCTTGTATGCATAATCAGTTGCACAATCAAATTGGCATAAAAATACATTTTAGTGTATAGTGTTGCCGTTCTTGCCTTGGCTAACACAAAATACATTAACAAATACAAACAAGATTATCAAAACCCATGCAGCTGTTTACAATACCAACCAAAAAAATGAAAAAAAGAAAGGTCAAAACTCATTTTGAACGAATCATAAACATTGTCAATACAATACAACTGGCTATAGGGAAACTATTGCTGAGAATCACAACCCATTCTAGAAGCTCATCATTGAAGAGTCCTAAAGTCAATTTGCGAAGACAAAATAATACAAAATTACATTTGCAAATCTAAGAAATCACATGCACTTTGTGCTTATTTAATGCCCAATTTGATGTCGGCGAGCTTCTTCTAATGCTCCTTCAACAACCTCTCCTATTCATAATCTCTAATCTTCTTGCACACCATTTCTCTTCATCTTGTATTCACAAAACCCACAATGATTAACAATCTAAACTGTTGCTTGATATGTTTTGATCACTCCGTCAAATGTAAATTCCTCAACACAAATCAACCTGACACATTCAAGTATTCTAAGTTCTTTTCAAGGTAAATGTTCTGAGTTTTTCTAATTATTAGAACTTGGGGCCATTGTGGAAGACTCAACAATGCAATGAATTGTTTGTTTTTTACTGTTAGAACTATAATCTTCATTCATTTTCTTCAAAAATAAGTAATTCATTATAAGCTTCAAGTAACTTTTATTCACTCCATACACTATACGCATAACAATGACATATATATAACTACCACTTTCCCTTTCATTTTGTTTTCCTTTGAAAATCTAATTCAAAGACATTCATTTGATAAGAAAAAAAATAACAAAACAAAGGTTTGGTCACTCATCACTATTACTCCTTTTTTGACTAAATAAAAGAAATCTCAGGAAAAAAAAATTCAAATGAGAAAAAATAGAACAAAGCAAAAATAAAGAGTCAATAAATGAGACAAAAAGGGTAAATAAATAAATAAAACACATGGTCAATAAATACTTCTCCAAATTGCACTCATGGGTCAAAACTCCATTCTACATCGCTCGTGAGTTAGGATTTCACACCTGAACTTAATAAAAGTAATTTTTATTTGTTCATTAGATGAAGAAACAAAGGTTGATATACTAATTTTGAATTCTGCATAAATTGAACCCAAGCAAACAATTAAACAAAAGCTAAATTTGTTCAATAAGGATTGCTTTTTCTTTTTCTTTTCCCAAAGGGAATGGGATTGTTCAAAAACTATCCCATCAACTAAGATGTAACTTTCACATGAAAAGAAATTGCCAATAGTTAAAATTCTTGAATTCTTTGATCACATGTTAACATGCATTTGGGAAAAAGTAAAACTAGTACCTACGTTATTTCTTAGCATTAAATGTTAAATTAAATTGATGAGGTCCAATAATGCTCTATAACAACAAAAATCAATAACATAGATGATGCTTGACATCATGAAAAAAAAACACTCAATATGGTTGTGTACCTAATGAGTGATCAGCACAATTGTGTTTTCTTATGAAACATACAATTGCAAAGAGATGTTTATTTGAAAAAAAAAAATTCAAACCTTATAGTCCATAAAGATAACCCAAAGCATCATTAACTTTAGAGTAGACCACAATAAAGTTTCAAGACGCAAAACCTATAAGAAAAAGGCAAATATCAAGAAGAAGATTCACATGACAGGTATAGAAAAACACACCACCAACATTGGCCAACTATTCTTTTCTCTCTTTAAGCAAGATTTAAAATAAATATAAAAAAAATCGAAAGTATGTAATTTCTCAAGGGGCAAATGAAGTCACACAATGATTCAAAGGTAAATTCTATGTCATGTACTCTGCCTTTTGCATCAATTTTGTACTTTTAATTGCAATTAACTCGTTTTTAACTAGAGAGAGAGAGGGAGAGGAAGTGAATCACCATGAAAACCAAGAGGCTCTAATGTCTTCAAAACTCCAAAACAGTAGCAGTCACACCTGGAAAAACAAAAAAACAAAAAAAGACTTTGTTCAATAATGTATCCTTTAAGGGGGAGGGGGGGAATTATCCAAAAAAACTACAAATCAAACTCCTACTATTCATGTGTTCTGAAACAAAAAGGAGAAGGAAACCAAATATAATAAGACAGAAAGTTCTATACATTGCGAACAATGTCTATGAGATTTATGGCCAAAACTGGACAATAAAAACAAAGGAATGGTAATAAATTAGTGACATAATAGCTGAATTACAAATATGAAACCTAATAACAATAATAATAAGGGTTTTCTCAAAGATGAGAAAACATCTTCTCAAATCCTCAACATCAGAACTTTTAACTCAAACCTAATAGCAATAAGGAGGTCAGGGAGATGGCTAGGGTTAGAAATCCAATCAAAAAATTAGATATCTAATATACCCATTTTAGAAATCCATTCAAAAACATATAGAAGATAAGGGAGATAGATAGGGTTTAGAAATCGGAGAATTAGAGAGAGAGAGAGAGAGAGAGAGAGAGAGAGAGACCAACTTACCTGGTGAGGTGGAGGAGGAATGAGACGGAGTTGTGTGTGAGAGTGAGATGAGAAACGTAGAAGGGTAAGGGCAAATTTTTTGGGGAATCCCAATTTGAGGGGGAATTTCAAATTAAGGTAAAATTTTGTGAAAATATTTGCTCTTAGTTTGTTTAGAGATGTGAAAAATAGATCAAGCTTGTTAAATTAATATTTTGGGTAAATTACATATATCTTTGAGGTTTAGCAAAATTATAGATACTCCTAAGGTTTAAGAAATTATAGATATCCCTGAAAATATTATTTGCATAACAAATTAGTAGGCAAATTGTTATGAAAATAGAAACTTCAGGGGGCAATTTGTTATGAAAATACAAACCTCAGGAGATATCTGTAATTTCGGAAACCTTAGGGGCTATCTATAATTTAGCTAAATCTCGAGGGAGGTATATGTAATTTACCCTAATATTTTTAAATTTTATTTATTGTTTATATTTTTACTTTATTGGAGATTTATGACTCAATTTGTAGGAAAAAAAATACAAAATTTAGATATATTTAGAAAGTATAAATTTAAAAATAATTTAAAATTACACCAAATATAAAAATATATTAGCTTGTTTGGTTTTAGTTTTCAGAAAACACTTTTCCGAAAATTTTATTTTTTTATTTTCCGTATTTTTTTGTTTTCAATGATTTTTTTTAATATTTTAAGCAATTTTTTTAAATTCTTAGACATACTTAACATAAATACACTTAAAAAGTATAATATTTGTGAGAAATTTTTTTAAAAAATTCATTAAATATCAAAAATACAAAAAAAAATAAGAAAATTCAGTATATTTTTCGTATTTTTGTGTATTTATTAATTTCTTAAAATATTTTTTTACAAATATTTTACTATTTAGATACATCTAAGTAAGGCTGTTGGCTTTGTGGCTTTCGAAGGTTATTTTTGTAATTGCAACCGTTCCAGCAAAGATCAATTAGGCCTTACAGAAAATTAGTTGCCAACCAATTATCAGACGATTGTGTTTTAGTTCTCTCAGCCTCAATGAAGAAGACTTTTGCTGGTGGCTTGATTTAGGAGAATTAAACAAAATATCAATCAAATAAAGAACAACTGAAGCATTTCATTAGAATGTAAAACTTACAATGATCCAAACTCAGCCTCGTAAAGGCTTACAGCGACAATCTACTTGGAACTACTCCTATGAACAAAGTGCAGTGCAGGAATTTAAAGTACAGGAATGTAAAGAACAGGAAACGTAAAACTAGAAAGACAAATAAGTAAAGTAGAATATGACTGGTTTTTTGGATCTGAGTCTGGGGGCTTTTTCTGGGGCCTTCTCTACTATTTATACTGCTCAAGGATGACCATTGAACTGCATTTCTAACCGTCGAATTGCTCCTCCATGATCGCTGATCATGTTGCCTCAAGATTAGCTCCATTACGCCATTACTTGCAGTTAGGCTTCACTCCCAAATTTGAATTTGAAATGTGAGTAACCGTTGAAGCCACATCACCTTGCATCTCTTTGTTAATCCACAGCTACTCAAATCTCGTAATAACCAATACTAACTGCCACGTGTACGATCAGGATCGAAGACTTGAATAGTCTTCCTATATTATCCTTATTTTGTCACGCGTCGAATTGTAATTGGCTTGTACAAAATATGTAGCCAACATTACCCCCCGCACTAATATACCAAATACTTGGTGATATTAGTGGATCAAGGTTTTTTTTCCACGTCTTAGAACGTGCATGGGTTTTGCATTCTCCCAGAAATGCAACTGTCATTCATCATCTGCATTAAACTCTCCTTCAATCTTTTGAACACCCCCACCATCTTAGTATTCGAACAGACTGATACATTTTTTATGGCCGAATCAATTTTTCCCTCCATTGATCGAGCACATGAAGAGTCATATGATGATGTTGTTCTTCCTCGAAAGAACCACCATACATTAATTAGCCACCTTTACCCATATTTCTATATTCAGGTCGTGGATGCCTTTGCAAATTATCAACCCTTGGACTTCGAACATATTGCCCTTAATCCTTTGATTCAGAAACTTACGAATATGGACATGGGAAGTTCTTCTTTTGACTCACCCTTGGACTACGAACAAACTGCTCTCAATCCTTTGATTCATAAAGTCGCAAATATGGACATGAGAAGTTCTTCTTCACAACCCTCTGCATGCAACTTCTTCCTCTTCTGGGGCTTCTGACTAGACAAGCTGGTCAAAACCTGAGGCTTGTGATTTGAAGGAACGAATCAACCACCATTTTGTCGAGTTTACTGACCTTTTAGAGTTCCCTTCTTATGCGCGAAGCTCGGTGGTCTATCCCTACGTGCCCATTGACCATCGACGCAGTTTGGAGGAGAATCTGCTTGTGGCATAGTATACATCCTCCATGCCTACAAGGATAGTGCACGCCGCTTGGCGCCTAGAAGAGGCACAAGGGTACAATCCATCATTCTTAGCCCAAAAGGCAAAGATTTGTTCTTCTGACTGGCTTGATTATATTAATGCCCTTGTTCCTTCTGCCCTTGCTCCATCTCTTGAAATAGAAGCATCCACACCTTCTCCTCCACCAAATCCTTGCTAGACAGAGAGACTGAGGCTTGCCCTCTCCGCGGATAAGGTCTTTCCACCTTACAAGCCTCTACCTTCCCCTAATCCAGCTGAGCGGAAGCAAGCTCAACTTCTGCTCGCGGCTTTCTCTCACTTGCCCTTCAATGTTCTTGAGGACGAAGTCCCTCTCAAGAACCTTCGATAGGCTTGTGATATTCTGACTCGGGGTCATGTCCTCAATCCCCTCGCCCAAGCAGAGCTTCACATGTTTTTAGACCAACTTCCATTGCTTCTCCACTGGCATCGGACCTCTATGGCCACCACACAATCTTTAGACCAACTCTCGTCCCTTCGAGTTCATGCCCAGTACGAAGCAGAGAACTTCATTGAAGAATTCGATGATTTCAAGAATAAAGATTCTACGTACTGGGATGACTTGGATATAGACGAATTGGAACAAGGATTGAGAGAAACAGCATTCGAAATAAAGTCTGAAGAGCTCTTTTACGAAGTGAGAGCACATCAACTCATGCAGCCAATGTTAGAAGAAATAGAGGATAGAATAAAGAAAAAACAGAAATTCATTGATCATAGTTGGACTAAATTTAATGATCTTGTTATTTATTCCATTCCCTATTTTTATGAGCTTGAGTTTGTACCCAAATAGGGCCATTCGATGTAATAGCTTTTGCTTTAATACCACTAAGACTTTTTCTTTTTATTTGGCATTGCTTAATCTTGTCTCCATTTGTCTTTAAAGCAAATTCAGGGCTTCAAACTGAACAATCTTATCCTTCGAATCTGGATTCAATTGTTTAAAAATGAAACACTAAATACCAACATGAACTTTTCCAATTTTATGGAATAATAGTTGACATTTTTTGATCATTTTCATTTAGAATCAGTGCTTCGAATTCGACAGTCCTACCCTTAAAGTTTATTTCGATCAGAACCAACATATGGTCATGGCTTGTATGATCAATCAGTTTTAAATTGACCATTTTTTCCCCTAAAATAAGAGTCCATACTTTCAAAAATATGAAAACTCTTTTCTAGGGCTGCACTGTTTTAGTTCAGAGAGAGAATCTTTCTTAAATATATATAAACCAATTATTGGTCTTGATGTTTTTAACAGTGATTCCCATCCTCAAGGGATCTCAAGTTTTGCTTCGAAGGACATTACTTTCATTGAGAAACCTAAAACAGGTCTTTAATCTCTTCGAAGTAAACGAATACTTGAGCATTCTTACATCCATAAGTATGAAATGTACTTCGAAGCTGGCTTATTAGTTTCGAAGCCGTTTATTATTTGACTTTTGGCGCCAAAATCTGGTTTCGAAGCCAAATACTGTACTTCGAAGCTGGCTTTCAACACCTTGGATGTGTTTTTCCCTCAAAAAATATCAATATTGAAGGAAGCTCACCAACTATTGGTTTTGATGTTTCGAACAGCAATTCTCATTCTTAAGGGATCTCAAGTTTTGCTTCGAAGGACATTACTTTCATTGAGAAACCTAAAACATGTCTTTAATCCCTTCGAAGTAAACAATGATTACTTGAGCATTCTTACATCCATAAGTATGAAATGTACTTCGAAGCTAGCTTCTTAGTTTCGAAGCCGTTTATTATTTGACTTTTGGCACCAAAATCTGATTTCGAAGCCAAATACTGTACTTTGAAGCTAGCTTCAACACCTGGGATGTGTTTTTTCCTCCAAAAGTATCAATATTGAAGGAAGCTCTTCATATTTGTACTTTTAGTACTTAACGAATTTTACGCAATATATTTTCCAGACACAAAGGCTTTTAAAAACCCTTTTATTTTGTGCTCTGAAATCACTTGCTCGCTCAACACACAAACCCTTTATCTCTACCGATCTTCCACTTCTTTCTACTCCCTTCGTCATCTGAGAAAGCGTTCTATCAATGGCTTCCTCTTTATTGGAAGTGCTAGTTGTAGAGCGTGCGAGCCCGTCTGTAGCCCTGAAAAGGCTCATTGATGCAGAATGTGAAAAGTATAAGGCTGGGGAGAAAAGTGTCATCGACGGACGCATCTTTATCCCTCGTCGTCATGTGCAACAAGACTATGTGCTTGGGCCCATATTCAAGGAGATTCCTATTGAGCTTCCAGCTTTATATCCTCGTCTGGAAGACCATTGTCTCCTTTACGAAGGTGGCCTTGACTGGAGGAACTGGAGGACAAACTGCCCTCACCGATGCTGGCCCACGGTGAGACCGGAGTGGCAAGAATGGTATGATCGAGTTATCCCTAATAGGACCCTGGACCTTCAAGAACTTTGCCTTCTCAACGCCCTCCGACTATCCAGGTTAACCATCTCAGAGGACCTTTTCTTAATCCCTGCTGATTTGTGCTTTTGGAATTCTGTTTTTAATTTCTTTCAATTTAGATGTGGGATGATGGCCCCTACTGTTCTTGACATTTGTCATCTATTAGGACTATCCCCCATTGGAAACCCCATTGGACCAGATTATCCTGACCTAACAGT